TGAAAAAAGTGTTAAAAAAAAAACGCGGGGGGGGGGGGGGGATTTATCAAAACTAGAGCAGACAGAATATGGAACAGTTGCCCATACTAACTAATCAGTTTCTCTCTCAGTTTGTACAGTTAAGCTTTGAAAATGAAAGGGAAAGGCTAATTGGTTGCTATGGAACTTCCAATATCAGGAAGCCGGGCGGCGAGTCATTACACACCGCCCGGATTTCTGATTGGCCGGGAAGCCAGCTCCATTCTCCCTTGTCACCAGGGAGTTGGTAAGGAAGCATGGAGCCAGGTGCCTGGCCAATCAAGAAGATGGGTGCCGAATGACCCTTGGCTCGGCTTCCAGATTGGCCAGGTCGGAAAGCTGGACTACCGGGAAGCATGGTGTCACCTCTTTTCGAGGGAGCATGGAGACGTCATCCTGGCTAATCAGGAAGCCGGTTGGTGAGTCATTACATGCTGCCCTGCTTCCTTAATGGGACTTCCAGGATCTGTATTCGGCATCGGCGAGTACCGAAAAAAAATATCAGTACTCGTACTTGATACCGGTATCGGTGCATCCGATAGTACACCCGTACCGGCGGAGGGGAAGGAGCGCGAAGCCGAAAGATAAGTATAGCGGGGGGCAGATTTGGGCCGGTAATTCCATTTTCCCAAATTACTCGGGAAAGTGAGCTTACCCTTTAATGCACATTGTGTGTGTTAGAGAGCGCTGCTGCCCGGCTACCCCAATATGGCACACAGTGGAATGAGGGCAGCACTCAGCACACAGGCACACAATGCCCTCCTCATGCGTTTATTCACTTGCAAATAGCGGGGGCGGAGAGGCTGGTTTTAGTTTTTAGTTTTTTTTTATTCTTGCTTATCTTATCTTTTACTTTTTTTTAATTACTTTATTATTTTTTACATTTGTATAAATTTACATTTTTTTTTCCATTTTATTATTGTTATTTAAAATAACGTAATTGCTAACAAGCCTTGTGTGATAGCATTCGGAGGTGGCAGGTTCTCTTTATGAAACCTGTCACCTCCAATTCAGAAGTTCCAGCACATTGTGCTCGATCTCCTGTGACAGCCGAGACAGGAAGGCTGCAAGTACAGCTCTCCTGTCTCAGTGATCACGCGGCCGTTCTCCGCTCTTAATCCTGAACTAATGTGCCATGGCCCCAGGTCCTCCCGAAGAGTGGGGGGACCCCAAAAACCAGTGGGGGGAAGTAACAAGTGGGCTGCTTACAAGTAATCTTGGGTGGCTGTACAGCTGCCCAAGATCAATTGTACAATACGATTTCCCTGCATTACATATAGCCCTGCTTGTCACGGGTGTCGGGTGATAGAAATTCCACACCCATGGCCACTAGATGGCATTGAAAAGCATAGGAATTCCTTTGCTCCTCACTGCCATCTAGCGTATAGCTGTACAAATGCCATTTTCGAATGTTTCTACGGTACAGAAATATTTGTAAATCATTTATGAATCGGAGTGTATTGCCAGCTTTAGGCTTTAAATTTACTTTAATTGCTAATATTTCTCCTGTCCAAAACAAGGCAAAGAGAATTTATGAGTAGACTATGGCAACCCTGCAGAATCCAGGTTTCAGCAACTTTACCAGCTACTCTGTCAACTATTGCTGATCCAAAATATGCACGCGTTATTAATAAGTCAGAGCTACGTGCAGAAAGTCATAAAAAAAAGATCGGATTTCAGCTCTCATTGATATAGAGCGGTCAGAACCATGAAAGATGACTGGTTACTATGGGTTCTTATACCCTATTTTTAAACCATAGGTGTATACATAGGAGTATTGGATATACTGTATTAAGCTGCACTGAAAACCAGCATTTGTTTTCAGTGTATGAATTGATAATTCCAACTGATCATTTGTAGTCTGTGCCCATTTAACAATTCTGACTCCATTATGCCCAACTGGCAAATAACCTGAACTTTCAATGGCAAGGAAAGCCAGGCTTATAGCCAAAAAAAATCAACACATTCCTAATATAATAAAAGAAACAAAGCACACCATAACATTTTATTTTACAGCTGGATTTAAGCTAGCTACATTGACTTTAATTGTATGTTAATGAGAAACATGTGTTTCATATATGCATTCACAAGCTAAAATACAATGACGCAAAACAGGCTATTGAAACAGCTTGGCACATATTAAAACATAAATATAGAAATATACATTAAAAAGTTGTTTATTTTTAACAATGACCATAAGGTTTTACAGAATCATTTACAAATGATGCAAAATATAATCCTACAATTCACGGTAAGCTCTATAATTAGTCGTACTACATGAAGGCATTGTTTTTCTTTAATTAATTGAATCTGCAGACTCATTATCAGGCCCGACTCCGGAAGGTCCTTGGATTTGATCATTTCAATGACCCAAATTAGAAAATTATTTATTACAGGTACTTATATAGCGACGACAATTTACGCAACTCTTTACATGCGCATTCACATCAGTCCCTGCCCTCAAGGAGCTTACAATCTAAGGTCCCTATCTCACATACATACATAGAGGGCCAATTTAGACAGGAGCCAATTAACCTTCCAGCATGTCTTTGGAGTGTGGGAGGAAACTGGAGTGCCCAAAGGAAACCCATACAAGCACAGGGAGAACATGCAAACTCTTGGGATTTGAACCAGGGACCCCCAGTGCTGCAAGGTAGAAGCGCTAACCGCTACGTCACTGTGCTGCCCCAAATTGAAGATGAGGTGGATTTTCAAATCTTTTGGTATAACTTCTTTTTCCATGTGTGGATATATTTTATATAGCTTGCTCTATACACTGATTTAAAGAACATATCTGCAAAAGTCAGCTACAGATTTTCATTGATATTATTATTATTGCTGACAGCTCTCTGCATGGTAACAGATTGCTTTGGTCACAATTTAGTAGCATTAGATAACAGCGCCCTCTTGTGTTTAATCATTTAAAGCATGACTATTTAAAAACTAAGGCAAAAAAAACACATGCCAAAATGAAGGGCTTGTTAAAACTTTACATCAGGGGTAGACAACCTTGGAACTCCAGCTGTTGTGGAACTACAAGTCCTGTGAGGTTTTGCAAGACTCTGACAACCATAGGCATGACTTCCAGAGGCAGGTGCATTATAGGATTTATAGCATCCCCACAACTGGCCGAGGGTGCCTTTCTCTGCTTTATAGCATCAAAGCAGGGGGCATACATTTCCCTGTGAGCATAAGGGCTCATGCCATACAAGCGTATGGGCATACAGCGCAAAATACGCCTGTATCTGGGGTGCCCGGGAGCTCCAGCTGTAGTGTTTGTATGGACAGAATATACTGTATGCAGGTATACGAGTATAAAGGGATGTATCAGCAAGGAAACAATACCCTTATGTTTTGCTTAGTGAACATTCAGAGAGATTATAGGTTAGTCTATTCCAAATCCCTTGTTCCTCTTATGCGCCCCATCTTCTTCAGTCATGCATGCATATTGAGAAATACATTGTTGCTTTCTAAAGAGATGTAGATGGCATTTTAAGCAGCCTATGACTCCCTTTTGTCCCTAGGGCCCTCCTTACCATCTTGTTTTGAATTGTATTGTAATGTCTTCCTTATATTGTAAAGCGCAGTGCAAACTGTCGGCTCTATATAAATCCTGTATAATAATAATAATAGTTGTGATTACTGAAGCTTAAAAGGGCGTTGTAGAGGTTATGCCACCCACTGCCATCAGGAACGACGACTGTCTGACTGGGAAGGAGGGATTCAATATAGAAATCTAGGAAGAGCATGAGAGGATGGAGTGACTAACCAACCACTGTGTTTGTCACTTGTCGCTTTTATAGGTAAACGATGGCTGCTCTGGCTGCTCTTTACAGGGGTTCTAAACCCTCGGTTTTTTTTTGCCTATATCTATTGCTATCAAGCAGTAGATATAGGCAAAAAGTTTTTAAAAAAACAAAACGCTTTAACAGGGGTTTAAACTTACCTTGGGGGCGGCCATCTTGGAAGATGTAGGGTTTGCTTACTCATGTCAGAGTCTCCAGCAAACAGAGTAGAGAGCAGCACAGCAGTGAACTCACCAAATGCCACTTCAAGTCTGCTAAGACTAACAGTTAGAGGCAGCAGTTCCATAGATCTCACATATATGAGGCTGTAGTGAAAGCGTGCCTAGGCACACTCACATACCAGCAACTGCAATGTTATTGTTTAGAAGGAATTCAAGCAGAAACGTACATTTTTCACGCTACTGCTTAGCCACAATTATAGTAGTTTCCTATAACTCTTCAAATATACACTTTTTGAGTTCAGCTCCACTTTAAGTTCAGCTCATTGTTTGCTCTGAATGACATGACATGCTTCCTATAAATACTGAAGGCCTTCTCCTAAAGGCCATTTTAAATGAGAAATAACATATGATATTGCTAAAACAAAAATGGGCCTATGTTTGAAAAAGTACCTTTGCTCCGACTCCGAGAGACCCTAGTACCATCATGATGGCATTGCAGTTGTGTAATGTCACCAGGTTAGCTGCAACACCATCATCATATATTTCAGGAAGGTTTCAGAAGTATCTGAATATAAAGCAATATGCAAAGCCCCCCAAATC